GCCAAGCGACGAAAACCCAACCCCGATGGCAAACACCGAGGGGGACGGCTTGTTTTACAACGTCGATGCCAAGCGACGAAAACCCAACCCCGATGGCAAACACCGAGGGGGACGGCTTGTTTTACAACGTCGTTGCCAAGCGACGAAAACCCAACCCCGATGGCAAACACCGAGGGGGCGGAAACACCGAGGGGGTAATGCCCTGGGGGGAGGATGGTCCGGACATGTTCTACCTGCAGTTCTACAAGGGTTGAATTCGTGCGTGTGTTTGTGTGCGATTGTGCCGTGGTGCTCGCATGCGATTCTGTCGACTGTCACATGCACACATACACGCACACGGGTGCAAGCACCGGCAAGAGCAGGCCGTGATTTTCGGTCTCAGGCGTGAAGGAATCTCAAACACACAGACGCGCCACCGCTGGGCGAACTCAGCAGCAGATGTGCCACGATCGCCTTCGATGTGGCGCTCACACGCGGGTAAACTTCCGTGTGGTGTAAAACGTCTCACTTACAAGAGGGCTTATCAACTACAGTAGTACAGGTCCCGACATGTGGTGTCGGTGCCGGTTATCGTACCGGTGTTTTCGGCGGGAACAGAATGGATCACGGTGTCTGCTTATATTGCCGGTCAAACCTCTGGTTACATACCGACAAATGTATCGGGAACTACCTGCTGTCAAACAGCGGATTGCCCGGCGTGATGCATCGTATTATTCAGTCACTACATTTTCGTTGCTGCGAGCCTGACGCGATGCGACAAGGCCAACTGGAAAATTTTACTTCGGTTCTTCCAGAAGTAACACAAACTCTTTCTCCATCCATCGATGAAAGTCCGCAAGACTGATTGGCCATGAATCGATGGTCATGGGCTACTACATTGGTACCGCAATGCACGCATTGGCCGCTTCCATGCTTGAGCTGGAATCCTTGCCAAGATATGATCCGTCAGAAGTTTATGAGAGGGCCTAATTGCTACGCCGCGTACATCAATAGCAGTAGTTGTACACATGCATCTGTGCAAACGGTGTTCTAAAACCATCACCGAGAAAATAACAAAAAGTCGCTTCTTGTTGGACGAAAATAATCAATAGTCGGCTTTGTTGGACGAGAAAAACACCCGACATCTTGATTCTCGACCTAGCCTTTGACACGAGAAAAAAAAAAAACTGCCTTTGCCCGACATGGTTGTAACATTTTTTTTATTTTCCAATGTACGCGCACATACGGACATCCAAATTGATCTCTCTTGGGGCAACCTGGTAAGGTGTTGTTTTCTGTCTCCGAACAACATAAACCAAGCGCATCGGGAAACAAATCAGCGGCGGAATGGAGTCCTCGCCATTCATCAAACCAACATTTAACATCCAAACAACATGGTCATGCCCATCATCAGCAAGTAGTCCTGGGATCCAAGGGGGTTGATCTCTACCGCAATATCTCACGAAATCAGGGTCACTTAGTTTGGTGGATGGCAAGGACGACGTTCCGCCGTGTGATTTTTATCCTGATGCGCTTGATTATTGCGAGCATATCGCATAGACCCCCTGCTCGTATGCATTGTCATGCTCCGGCAAAATACATCAATGTAACCCTCTCCAAAACAGAGTTCAAAACATTTCTTCCGAAAAACGGTAAGAAAAGAACTGCCTTTTGAACAGACGGGTGCAGCTCCTCAGAGATCGACATTGATTGATCGAGCTTACGATATTGCAGGACTGGAAGCGCACGTGATATCAATCCGGGCGAGTCACGGACTTTTCTTTCTTGGGACTGCTTGTAACACCACAAATCCATCTCTATCCAGGCATGGGTCTCGGATACACTAGCTATGAATAAGTAGGCATTACAGCAATCAATTACGAAAGTAATGGAATTCCTTGTGTTGCAAAGGTGAACCATAGTTTGGTGGCCATCTTGTGGAGTGTGGACGGGGCACGGAGGTTTTCACGACCCCCAGGGAGCAGTGCTGCGCTATTCTCCCGTTGAAAATCAAACGCAAGCATGGGGTGCGTGGTGGGTAGTAGCTAGTGGGTAGGGGGTTCAGGGGAAGAACCCTGTTCTGCTGTCTGTGCGGCCATGGATTGGAGCTCTCTGCGGTACAAACGCTGTGCGTGGACATCAGCGCGATGGAAAAAAAAGAAAAAAGATGAAAGTCTGCTGAGAGACTGCGCAACTTGTTCATAACGAGTCAGAAAAACGCGTACCAGCTAACTCGCGGGTTTGAAATGACGCCTAAACGCACGTCTTGGTCAAGTTTTTCATCAACAATCATTTGCGGGGCGCTAGCGAGAAGTGTTTTCCTGATGAAAGCTATGTTACCCACAGGACAGACTGCAGTCCTAGCATATTTTTAGTATCATTGGGTCCGAAAAAAGAAAAAGCTAACGCGGCCCCCCGTGGCGGCAGGCTGAGTTCACCGACCGAGGGATTAGAGAGTTCGATAGCTTTGAACGCGACACTAAAGCAACTTTTTACCCTCCCTACTTCTTGCATCTTGCCGCAACCAGCATGGGGCTTGTTGAGTGGATCCGCAGAAAAGGCTTAAAGATTGGCGGGAGATGTTGGACAGCGAAAACGGAAAGGAGGCGCCGCTCCACACACACCAGGAGAGCGAGAGTGGGGGCTTGCCAAAAACGGCACGTGATTTGAAAAGGAAACCACCGTGATTCACGAGACTCCACACTCACCTCACGGGAATCCCTTCCGGTGGTCGCTCCGTTGTCCGACATGGCTCCTCTCTCCCTTCGTTATTCCTCTCTCTGCCCCTTCTTCCTTCGCTGCTGGTGTGGTCTCTAGCGCTCTGCTCTGCCCGCCGGGGTGGCACAGGGCGCACGCAGCTGGTACTCAAAACGAATCTGCTACCTAGGGAGCTCCGTGAATCAGATACAGCGCCCCGAAGTGCTGCCGCACCGTAAGACTTAGAAATTTAGACTGCTGCTGCTGCCATCGAGAAACATGGACACGATGCTCCCGCCGCTGGGCGAAGGCGTGCCCCTGCACAGCAGCTTACGGCAGGTTGAGATTCTCGACCCCCTTCCTCCTCTCAGCAGCGTCGCGTCGCGGGACAGGCTGCACCTGGAGCCGATTCGCACGACAAAGCTCAACGAAGATGCAGCGGAAAGCAGCAGCAGCAGCAGCGGCGGCGGCATTATTGCACCGAAGAAGGCGCAAGAGCAGCACGACGTAAGAGCAGCTTCCGGCGCAACGACTGCCTTACTCTCGCCGCCGACGTCGCCCCCGAGGATACGCTCGATCTCTCCCACTTCCTCCAGGGGTGTACCGAAGATGGGCTCAATGGACGACTCGTATTGCGACAGATATCGCAGCACCAGGTATGCGTATCGACGAGACTTAATACTCCTGTTATTTTCCGAGCCTCGCTCAATCGTGACGTGTGCCTCCCGCTCTTGTGGTGTTGATTGCGGAGACACCTCGATGGCTGTGCTGTTCGGATAGAGGGAAGGCAAAGGTCCGGGTGTGGTTGGGGAGTCATCTCATCCCGCCGTTTTGCGGTTTGTGCGTGCCGTTAGGCAGCATTCCGTGGCCTTCGTTGGGCATGTTCTGGCAACCTTTGGTTTCGGAGTCGGTTACACGAGAGGCGCGTCGATGCGAAAAAAAAAGCCAGCGCGCGATGTACATTGGAAGAGCCGCCCCACCAATTTGTGGAGCAACGCCTGAAGCCTTTCTGTGCATCGACGATGACTGAGCACTGGCTATTGCTAAGCTACCCCCCAGTGCTGACGGCGGGGCGCTCACTCTCCTCTGCCAATTTCTTGTTTTTCTTTTCAAACATCGGGAGTTGGGTTGTGCTGTCAAGTGTGTTTCTTTCCTTGCGGCGGTATCACCACATGACCACTGGTTCTGGTGGTGCTGTTGCTGGCTCTACGGAATGACGTCTGAGATAGCATATGCCTCACCCGCGTTGGGCTCCTCTTCTCACACTTGAATCGCCTGCGGCGCAATGTGCTCGGCGAGCGAACAGCTCGGCCGCAGCCTTACCAACCATCGGGGGGGCGTCTTCACAATGTCATATTTCTTCAAAAGTTGCATACGGTGTGCAAGATACCCTACTCTGTAGAACATACCCTACTCTCTAGGTCGCCCCGGTGATCTAGTTGGTAACCTCGAAACCTTCTAGAGGTCAGGTCAGGGGTTCGAATTCCGGCGTAAGCGAGCTTTTCTTGCAAAGTGAGTTTTTCTCTCGCTTCCGCTCCTGGCCTAGTGGATAGCGCTAGTTCGTGTGTACACAGAGGGAAGAGAGTGCTGAACTCTTCTCGCATTAAAAATCGAAGCCAAAGTACCGCGGGAGGGGAAGGTAGAGAGGGGCGCTTCTGTGACCACGGGTTGGAGTAAACGGCACCAGTGCTGTGAGCGCTGATTTGAAGTGAAGAAAAAACAAAAGAAAAGAAAAGAAAAAGAAAAGAACACCAACCCATTGNGTACACAGAGGGAAGAGAGTGCTGAACTCTTCTCGCATTAAAAATCGAAGCCAAAGTACCGCGGGAGGGGAAGGTAGAGAGGGGCGCTTCTGTGACCACGGGTTGGAGTAAACGGCACCAGTGCTGTGAGCGCTGATTTGAAGTGAAGAAAAAACAAAAGAAAAGAAAAGAAAAAGAAAAGAACACCAACCCATTGTAGTATTATTCGAGCGAAGCGAGATTTCTAATCTTGCCTGAGAGGGCTCAGCGCAATATAGGGGCCGATGCAGGAAAAAAAGTGCGTGCGTGTGTTGTGTTCGCTTAAACTAGGTTTTAGAGTACAGGACTTGATTTGTGACTACAGGGCGCACTTTTTTTTTTTACACAGCAGAGCAGCAAACAGCAACAGCAGACAACACGCGCTCAGCGAGCAGACTGAACACACACGCACAGCAGACAACACGCGCTCAGCGGGCACAGCGACACACCAACAGCGCAGAGCGGACACAGCCACAGCGGCCTGCATGGCATGGCAATTGCATGATGAGTAGACGTCCGTTGGGGCCGATTGACCCGAACTCCCTCCGTGAGGCAGAGACGCACACAGACTCGCGGCGCAGACAAAGCCACGGGGAGAGGGAGCCCCTAGGCAGCCCACAGCTTGACCGGGCGAGAGCTGCTGCTCGTCAGAGGACTGCCGCCAGGCGTGCGGCGGAGACCGATGGAGCACGGGCAGAAAGGTGCGTTGCGTGTGCGTGCGTCTGGGCGGCGATTGCCGGAGAGG